GGACTCGGACTTAGGCTACTAAAACTTGGACTTGGACTTCACTTGGACTCTAAAACTTGGACTTCACTTGGAATCTAAAACTCGGACTTCATTTGGACTTAGACTTCACTTAAAATTGGACTTGGACTTTACTTGGGCTCTAAAACTTGGACTTTATGACTTAGACTTGGATTTAGGCGTTTCTTATGTCTTCTTACGTTTCTTCATGTTTTCTTAGGTTTCTCAGGATTCTTAGGTTTCCTAGGTTTCTTTGGTTTCTCAGGTTTCTTAGGTATCTTAGGTAAGTTAAGTTTCTTAGGTTTCTTGGGCTTCTTAGGTTTCTTAGTTTTGTTTGGTGTTCCTAGGATTCTGGGATTTCATAGGTTATCTAGGTATCCGTTGGTATTCTGAGAAACCTAAGAAACCTCAGAATCCTAAGAAACCTAAAAGACCTAAGAAACCTGAAACCTAAGAAAACATGAAGAAACGTAAGAAGACATAAGAAACATAAGAAACGCCTAAATCCAAGTCTGTGTCATAAAATCCAAGTTTTAGAGTCCAAGTAAAGTCCAGTTTTAAATGAAGTCCAAGTCCAAGTGAAGTCCGAGTTTTAGAGTCCAAGTGAAGTCCAAGTCCAAGTTTCAGTAGTCCAAGTCCGAGCTTGAGCGTGGGCCGTTAGTTCAGTGTTGTCATTGGACACCAGTCAGCTCACCGACCAGATGGGCTAGCACAGGTTCACACTACTTAAAATGATCAAAATTTAAACATTGAAAAAACATCCAAAATCGTTAGTCCCATTAGTGATCTTAGGGCGTGCAGTTAGTGTACCCAAAACCGCAGCTGCATTTCCTCTGACTACTGCAAGGCTTAAGCGCTGCCTTAAGAAGGCCGTAGATCGGGGTTTTTCGGTAATTTCGCGGATCTTATAGCCGGCGAAACGGATGAGCTCAGCAAAAGATACTGCAAACGTCCCGAATGTTTCGACCGCCAGAGGTAGAAAAAATATATCCCAGATCTTCGACGAAAGCATATTTGTTGCGCTTACCCTTTTCAGCCAACTGGGCCACGCTTCCGGCTTTCCTTGAACTGGCACTAACGTGGGACATGGCCACAGTTTCCTAGCATGTCGCATCCCATACAACCGCCCTTCCATCGCGCACGGGAACGGGGAATCAAAGTCATGCCATCTGGCCGCTTGCCCTCTGTATCTGAAAGGCCAGTTGGTACCGAGTACAAGCTTGTCCGGTAATTTCTGCCGGTTCAATACAGCGAAATATACAAATTTGCGTGTTACGCCAGACTCTATGCTACGGCGCGCCACGCCACACTACTTGAATACGTAACATGCATCTGGCTGGCTGGTAGCTTGGTGCACGCCAGATAATTTATTGAGAATAACAGTGACTGCCTGGCTGAAGGTGGTTAGAAAATTGTCGGTGTAGTAATGGACAATCTATCTGCGGAGCGCATTTAGGCAATCCGATAAGCGTAGTGACGTGGCCATCATTTTAAGCGCAAATTTCGCGCTAGCTGTACCTTTACGACAGAAATTGCCGGACAAGCTTGTACAGACTGACCGGGAGATCCGGCAATCTCAAGCCCGCGTTTGACTTCGTTGTTTAGTTCAACGTGCCGCGACCATCTCCCCTTACTGCTTGAACATGACAACCCGTGATGGCCATTAGATTCCACAATGGTTCCGCAGTTCACGCATGGGTGTTCCTCTATCACAGGGAGTCCGAAACGAAGCACCACGCCAATTCTGATCTCCTCGTCCCGCAGAAATGTGTGCAGGTTCGGTGCTGCGAGAGCGTTCACCTATGCGCCCGAGTCGCGGTGTAATGCAGCGAGCAGCACTGCTTTTTCCGTTTCACCCGTGGCTCCTGCTTTCAATGCAGATACAACAACGTCTATTGCCGGCCGGTCCCATGCATACTGAAAGTTCCTGCTGTATTGAGGAGGAGGTTCACAATCTGTCCATTCCTTCCGCTGTCGTACAACAGGATCCAGAAGCGCTACCGTCGCAGGCTGGTAGATTTCCGAAACCAAGGTTACCACTGAATGCGCCGATGCCGAAAAGGCAGGGAAAACAAGCGATTTTATGGTCCGTAGTCCCAGTCCATCGTCTCTTACCGGAAGCGTCATTGGGCTCCATTGGATGTCATTCACACGGATGTTCAATGTGAATGACATCCAATGGAGCCGATGTTGTCATTTGATTAAACACCGGTGCAGGTCAAGACGTGACAGTATTCTCCCTCTTGTCAAGAATAACTTTCTTAACAAAGAATGACTAACTACAGATATGCTATGTACCTCTGTAATAATTCAAATGTTAAATAACTATAATCCAAATTTATTTTGGAAATGGCAGCAATAAATTACCGTTAATTAAACAAAATTTAATGTAATATTCAGAAATTCGGGAGAGGGTAAACCAGCATTCTGGATGGGATTTCAGCTTACCTGTCCGTGTACTGTAACCGTTGCGCTTCGATTGCGCGCGCGCAACCATTATCCAAAACTAACTCTCCTGCACAGTTCATCAAAATATTTGTATGCTGGGACCAAAAGTACATCCAACGAATATGTCAACTGTTTTGTGTAGAGGAATATCTCTTCTTTTAACCCTAACTGGAGATAAATAATTCTGCTTAGCTGAAAAGCAGCAGTTTTTAATTTCACGGAGTGGGTAATTTCAAATTTCCGCTTTCCAGGACATTCTCGAAATCTACCCAATTTTTCAAAATAGTTCATAAAACCGTTGATTCTCAAGATAATCTTGGTTTGACTTCAAACTGCTATGTCAAAAAACATTGCTCTTTCGCACAAAGCACAGGCACTGGTGGGATCCCGCATCCAGCGCACCATGGTACGTCAGACCGGCATTTTGTTCAGCCACCCAGTAATTGTAAGGGCTTAGTGCTTTTCAGTGGTGGTACAGTGGTTTGCGAAGCGAGAGGTCCGCGGCTCAGGTCCCGATATGCAAAACGCAAAAACTTGCGGCACGTGGGCAAAAGTGATGGTCTGCGCGTACAGAACAAGCCTGCTCCTACAGTGGCATACAGTGGTAGAGGTCAACTGCATTTGGGTAACCGATACGCATCGGGTAACGAGGAAACGCGTAACAAACTATCCATGACTCAGCGAAAAAATTATCGTCCAATCGAAATTACCGTCCAATCGAGTACGCTTCTGTGCCAAGCAAAAAAACTGAACAATAAACCCCACTGTCGACGCTCTAACGTGGTGAATGTGGTGTTAGGCCCAAAAAAATTCTGAGTTTAAGAATGCAGATCGCCATAAGGGAAAAAAATGCCACGAGATAATATGTTTTGAAACCTGGGACACGAAAACTGTTCACATGATGTTGCAAACAAACGAGCGCAGCTGAATTTTTTCCAAAATCTTTGGTTGATTGTGGGAGTTAACAAAATTCGCATTCCAACGAGCCTACATAGTTAACGGTGCGGCAACCGGACCGCGAGAAAGAAACCAAAACGGTAAACCGACATTTTGTTCTGCCACCCGGTATAACTTTTATCGCCGCAGCTGTTGCCAGTTGCCACTGCACTACGACAATCGACAATGGTTCCATGCACATGGTGTGTGCATCGAGCAGGACTTACACAGATCGGCACAATAATAATAACTCAAGTTGTGAATAATCGGTGTGTATTCGTGAATGTGACACCGGGTACAGTAATTTTGTTTTTTTCTTGCTGCTGCGCAATTTGAAGCAGGTTTGACATGCGAAATATTACTTACAGTAATTCCAAGTTTCCAACCTATACGGTTTATTATTGTCTGTGAATTTATTATTTCTTACGGAATTTATTTCTGTTAAGCAGTTTATTGTCGATTTATTCATCGATTTATTGCTCGTGTCCATTTATTCATATCGATTTATTGCTTAATGTACTAGTATTTATAAATTTTCCGCCTAGTTGTTTTATTATTTTTGAATTTATTTTGATTAAGCAGGTTATTGTCGATTTACTCGTATAATCGTATTCATCGATTTATTAGTAGTGCCTGTTTATTAATAATAATATGAACTTATTGTCAATATAATTACAAATGGTATACCTGTTAGTTTTATTGTGTTGAATTTATTATTTAGTATGGATTTATTTTTATCAGGCAGTTTGTTGTCGATGTATTTATCCATATATTATCGCATAATTAATCGATTACTTTATAAATTTAATTTCTTCATTTTAATCAGTAATTATCGGATACAAACACAACAACCGCCCCGATACATCATTTAATCGGAATTAAAAACCAGCGCAAATTCCCCCGGATGTAGACCAGCAAAGAAATACAAATACTCTGCGTGAGAAGATACAGAGAAAAACGAGAGAGAAAAAAACCACCCCCGGCCGCAAAAAAAATAATAACGCAACACAAGCAATAAAAATTACAAAAACCATTCCACCCACCTAACCCCGCCCCTCTTTGGTACCACGCCCCCTACATTTTCTGCATCAGTACAGCGTGATCAGTCCGTTGGCCGTGATCTTATCGCCGCCGTTGTTCAGCCGCGGAAAATGCCCGGGTCCGTCTTTCAGCGGTGGGGAATTCTTCTCGCCGGTCCCGTTCTCGTGGACGATGACCACCGGCTCCAGGTTGGCCGCCGGGGGCGGGGCCTCCAAGAGGGAGGCCGTCTCCGCCGGTTCCGCGTCCGCGTCGGCCTCGGCGTCGTCGAGGGACTGCAGGGCCTCGGGGTCGCGCAGCAGACTGATGACGCGCGCGCCGAGGTCACGCAGCTCGTGCCCGGCCAGCGCCGTCCCGCCCAGGGCGGCGGCGGCGTCGGTGGGCGGGGTGACGTCGTTGACGTCCACCGTGCTAAAGTAGGAGACCTGCTTGAAGCCGGCGCTCAGGGCGTCCAGCTCCAACAAGCCCTCGATGATCTGCAATTTTTTTACAAACTTTATTATGATTTTTTAAGGGATTTTCTTAATAAATTCCCTGCAAAATAATCCCCATTTTTTTACAATTTTTGTAATAATTTTAGCTCAAAGTTGCCGTAATTATTTTTTATTAATTATCGTTGGCATTCTACAATTTACCACGGCCAACTTTAACAAGCCCTCGATGATCTGCAATTTTTTTAAATAGATTTTATTTGATTTTCTGATGGATTTCTCTATACTAACTCTATGCAAGTATTCCCCATTTTTCAGCTGAAAGCAACCGTAATTTCATATACCGAATATCGTTTATTTTCTCTTTTTTGATTCTATGTTTGACAAGTATTTTCTTTACATCCTGATTTTTGTTTATTTTTGTTTATATTCTAAAATTGTACACAAGTGTACAGAATTTTCCCTACCAAGCTGGCACAATTTTCCTCCAATAAATTAACCTGATTTTCATCAGATTTGTACACCCTTTCGTTAATTTTTTATATCGGAGTTTTAATTTATTTTCGAAATCTTTTTTCTATTTATTTTTTTACTTATTTGTCTAATTTTATCCTGTGACTGACCTGTAGGAAGGTGGGGCGGTTGTGGACCTGGAAGGACCAGCAGCGCGTCATAATGTCGTAGATGTGGTCGGGGCAGTTCTCGGGACGCGGCATAAGGCGGCCCTCCAGGACGAAGTGCAGCACCTGCTCGTTGGATAATCCCTGGTACGGCTGCGCCGCCAGCGTCACAATCTCCCACAACACCACGCCGAACGACCACACGTCCGACTCGCTGGTGAACAGGCCGTCCTTCAGCGACTCCGGCGCCATCCACCGCACCGGCAATAATCCTATGCAATTCAATTATTTATTTTTTAACTGATTCAATTCACTTGGATATATATTTTTTCATGGCGTATTTTAAAATTTTCTTATCTTTTCAACTTTTATTTTTTGAATTTACCCTATAATTTTAATTCTGTATTTTACTCTGCATTTTCTTTCCACCGCACCGGCAATAAGTTAATTTAATCATATAACGAAATTTAACTCCTATAAATTACTTTGACTGATTTAACCTGATATGTAATTTTTCATGTAATTTTTCCATAAAATATTTCCGTTTTGAATTTGTCTGTAATTTTAATTCTGTATTTTATTCTGCGTTTTATTTCCACCGCGCCGGGAACAACTGTGTGCAACCAGCACAATTTCTCATTTACGGGCCACATTTAACCTATATATCCAGAAGAATTTTTTTCTCGTAATTATACTACTTTATCCAATTAATTTATTCATTTATTCATTGCTAATATAATTACTAGTTTTCTCTAATCTAAAAAATTCTTTATTTTTATAACAATAATTATTTCGCACCGGCAGCAACCCTGTCACCCAGCACAGCTTCTTTAATTTTCTCAGCTTAAACCGAATTAATTTTAATTTTCGTATTTTCATTTATTCATGATTAAACGTCTTAATTTTCTCAAGACCACGCGATCGGTCTGTTATTGGGTTTCGTAGTGTACTGGCTTACCACCAGGAAACGAGACGACGTATAGAAACTAAAGATGTCTAACGTATTAACGTTGACCAAAATTCAGCGAAAAGCGCAATTCAAATTAAAAATAATTTTCTCTTCACCTCTGTTTTAATATCTTTTTTCATTTCAATGTTTTCTACATGTATTTTTTATGAATGCTGTAAATTGCGGGAACAGCATAACTTTCAAAAAACGCAAACGTTTTAAAATCTGCAAATTTTCGGGAATACTGACATAATTTTACGAAACATCTGCAAATTTCGGAACTCAAACTGACGCCAATTAATCCGGGAATTTACACAAAATCTCCGGCGCTTCCCTGAAATTCGAAAACTACCTAATTTTCGGAAATCATAAAATTAAAATTTCGTAAAGTTCTGTAAACTGCAGAAACAGAAACAAAAACTAAACGCCAAAAATGTATATACAACCCGCGGAAATGAATACTAAAAATAAATACAAAAAATCTATACACTGCGGAAATAATTGCCAAAATAAATACAGTTGCGGAAATAAATAAATGCAAATAAATAAATGCGGCAATAAATGCAAACAATTTAACCTGTAGAGTGCGGAAATAAATACAAAAAATTTAAAATAATTGCGGCAACAAATTAACAGAACTCGGCAATAAATGCAAAACATTTCGCAAAATCTGTAGATTGCAGAAATAAATGCAAGAAAAATCAACCAGATAAACCGCACACTCACCTTTGCCGCCCTTGCGGTAATAGTCCGTCTCGTAGACGTCGCGCGTCATCCCGAAATCGCCGATCTTCACGGTGAGATCGTCGGCGACCATGCAGTTGCGGGCGGCCAGATCGCGGTGGACGAATTTGCGGCTGTGGATGTAGGCCATCCCGTCGCAGATCTCGCCGGCCATCTGCAGCATGCGGCTGACCGCCGGCGGCCGGCGGTCGGGTTTGTCGTCCTCCGGGCGCTGATTGCGCAGCCAGGTCTTCAGATCGGAGCTGGCCATGTACTCCATGATCACCCACACCGGCTGCCCTTCGGATACGATGCCCAGCAGCTTCACCACGTGATGACACCGGAAATTCCTACAGATTACCGCAAAAATTGATTCCGGAATTTTTTGGGGATATTACTGACAGTTTCCGGTATTTTTCATGCAATTGTTACGGCCGCTCTTCTCTGCAAATGACGAGGCTTCGAGCCACTGCACTACGGCAACCGTTACGGACAGCATCACATTTTTCCAATTACTTAAAGGCTGTTGTTCAACTTTTAATTTTATGTTGTTATTGTAAAAAAATTTTTAAAACTTTTACAAAATTTCTTGGAACTTTTTTTAATTTTCAAATAACACGGGAAATTCCTATACCTTCACAAAAAAATTACTTCCGCATTTTTTTTTTAAAATTATCCAGTTCCCGGCATTTTTATTCAATTGTTACAACCGTTTCTGCCAAAAGAGCCAATGCACTCCCGCCACTGCACTACGGCAACCGCCAGTGAAAGCTTTATATTTTTCCAACTAAATGCTACAGGTAAGTTTAATTTCTTTATTTAGTATAAAAAATTTTCAACCTACATAAATTTAAATTTTTTAAAGACACCGGAAATTTCTACACATGCACATGAAAAATAATTAGAGAATTTTATTAGGAAAAAGTTATGGCAATTACCAGCAGCAATTATTACGTGCACGGTGGGCCATCTTGAAAAAACTTTCAAGCCACGACACTACGAAAACGGTTCAACAGCAGCATTAACGTTTTCCCATTCAATTTAAAGAATTAAACTATTTCTCAAACCTGATTTGTTTAAATTTAATTTCTTTTAATTTCTTAACATGTCTGGATAAGGAAAAGAAATTCTTCCGTTTTGAATTAAAACAATTCCCAATTTATCAAAGAAAGAAAATAGTAAAACCGTAATAATTTTTTCATCATTTATTGTCATCGAGTTAAATGCGAAAAATCATAAACGAATTTATTTCGAGCAAATTCACCGTGAAAACCACCTAGTTAATAACTGAATTTAGTTTTTATTAATTTATTTAGCAAATAATTTACTGCTATTCGTATTTCACATAAACATCAGCCAAATAATTGCGAAATAAATCTGCGTAATTGACTGACTTCATAATGGAAGCCTCCTGTAGGAAGAAATTGCGCTCCGACGGCGATTTGGCCTCATCCACTTCCTGTAGCACAACCAACAGAATTTACGCAGGCCAACAGATTAGTTTAATAATTATCAATTGTTAATAATCATAACTAACAATACTTCTATCAATCATAACTAACAGGCTGATCAATAGTAAAAATAAATTATTATTAACACAATAATTGTTCATAATAATTTATTATTATAATTTAATTTCATAAATTATTACCAACAATAATTGTTAAAATAAAATTTATTAATATAATTTAGTTTCATACATTATTATTACCATTTACCAGTAATTGTTAATAATACTTGATTAATACTATTTATCAGCAATAAAATTAATCATAAAAATAATTACTGAAAGTAGTTATTTTATATTGGTTTTAATTTATTACGAAAGCAATCTGCGGCGGTACCTTGATGGCGACGAGGAGGCGCTCGACGCCGGCGATGATGTTCTTGGCGATGCCCTCGTACACGTCGCCGAAGGTGCCCGAGCCGATCTTCCGGCCGCGTTCGATGTTCTCCCGGGGCACCTCCCACTCGTCCGGCTTATACGCGTAATAATCCGGATTGATGGACACCACGTTCGGACTGGGCAGCGCCTTCTGCAGTCTGCACAAGCAACAGAGGAAAAATCAAGAAAAATCCTACGGGAATATTTCGACAAAATAAATCATTGCCGACACCATTTTAGGATCTCGAAAAAAAATTAAAGACAGAAGAGAAAGTACAAAATAAAATCTGAAATGTGAATCGTTCTACAAAATAAAGCAGGAAACAATTTTGGTCCAATATTTCTTTAACACATTACAAGAAAAAGTGTTAGTCAATTATTTCTAAAAATAAACCGTCAAAGAATCTTATTTGATAGATTTATGCACGACAAATCTCGAAAAATAAGTTTCCACAAAATTTTAATCAGAAAATTGTCACGGTAAAAATTTCTCAAAACTGCTGTTTTCAAACATTTCTCAAAACGTCTGTTCGAAACTGCAGAATACTGTCACGGTAAAAATTTCTTAAAACTAAAATTTTCAGAGCAAAATGTCGTTTGAAATATTTATAAAAAATCAATACAGAAAATCATCATGATGAAACAAATTTAAAAATCCAAACAAGTACAAATCAAATGTCCAAATCTTTTACAACAGTGAAATACTGAAAAATTCATGCTGTACTCAAAACTTTCAGGGGAAAAAAAAAACACTGGAAATATTATCAAAAACAGCTGATGAAAAATGTCCCGCGAAGCAATTTCAAAAAATAAATCAAGAAAAATTTCACTGCAATATTCCTAAAAAACAAGGTACAATATTTTCCACAAAAAAACCCACTAAACTCCCAGAAAATATTGCCGCCAAGCGGTATGTTGATGGTACCGTTTGCGGCAGACGTAGAAGACGCCGACGGCGATGAGGACGACGGCGAGGATGACGCCGACGACGATGCCGATGAGTGTGGGCATGCTGACGCCGGCCGCCGTGCTGGGCAGCGCCGCCAGCTCCACGAAGCGCGCCTCGGTCCACGAGCCGTTGCTGGCGAAGGAGGAGGCGCGCAGTCGGAAGGAATAATTCCCCGCCGCCGCGTGACTGAAATCCAGGATGGCGTGGCTGGCCGTGCGCTGCGTGCGCGGAATACACTCCATCTTCGATTTATTCTGCACCGAAAAAAAAACAACAACAATTCGTCATTAATTTCTTTTCCCATCAGAATCTCCATCGAATGTTTGTAAGTTATTTCCTGAATTATTCTCTTGGAAGCTCACTTATTTAAATAGATTTTCTATTAATAACGACTCGAAATGAAAATACTCCATTAAATACAAAATAAGAGTAGTAATATTAATAACACGCCATTAATGAGTTCAATGGAAAGTTCCTATTTTTCTTAATTTGTATTTGTAGTCATTTATATTACTATTAATCATAGCCCTGATTTGTGAAAAACTGTGATTAAAAAATGTTTCTATCAAAATAAACCATAAGAATAATCTAATAATACCAACGCCGCTATGTCGGCAAGTAACAAATAAATTCAAATAAATTATGCAATAAATCTGAACCAGGTTGGCTGGAATCAAACGATTTTGCACCTTCGTACATTAAATGAAAAAACAATAAATTTCGGCTACAATGAATCTGAACCAGGTTGGCTGGAATCAAACGATTTTGCACCTTCGTACATTAAATGAAAAAAAATAAATTTCGGCTACAATGAATCTGAACCAGGTTGGCTGGAATCAAACGATTTTGCACCTTCGTACATTAAATGAAAAAAGATAAATTTCGGCTACAATGAATCTGAACCAGGTTGGCTGGAATCAAACGATTTTGCACCTTCGTACATTAAATGAAAAAGATAAATTTCGGCTACAATGAATCTGAACCAGGTTGGCTGGAATCAAACGATTTTGCACCTTCGTACATTAAATGAAAAAAGATAAATTTCGGCTACAATGAATCTGAACCAGGTTGGCTGGAATCAAACGATTTTGCACCTTCGTACATTAAATGAAAAAAGATAAATTTCGGCTACAATGAATCTGAACCAGGTTGGCTGGAATCAAACGATTTTGCACCTTCGTACATTAAATGAAAAAAGATAAATTTCGGCTACAATGAATCTGAACCAGGTTGGCTGGAATCAAACGATTTTGCACCTTCGTACATTAAATGAAAAAAGATAAATTTCGGCTACAATGAATCTGAACCAGGTTGGCTGGAATCAAACGATTTTGCACCTTCGTACATTAAATGAAAAAAGATAAATTTCGGCTACAATGAATCTGAACCAGGTTGGCTGGAATCAAACGATTTTGCACCTTCGTACATTAAATGAAAAAAGATAAATTTCGGCTACAATGAATCTGAACCAGGTTGGCTGGAATCAAACGATTTTGCACCTTCGTACATTAAATGAAAAAGATAAATTTCGGCTACAATGAATCTGAACCAGGTTGGCTGGAATCAAACGATTTTGCACCTTCGTACATTAAATGAAAAAAATAAATTTCGGCTACAATGAATCTGAACCAGGTTGGCTGGAATCAAACGATTTTGCACCTTCGTACATTAAATGAAAAAGATAAATTTCGGCTACAATGAATCTGAACCAGGTTGGCTGGAATCAAACGATTTTGCACCTTCGTACATTAAATGAAAAAAAGATAAATTTCGGCTACAATGAATCTGAACCAGGTTGGCTGGAATCAAACGATTTTGCACCTTCGTACATTAAATGAAAAAAGATAAATTTCGGCTACAATGAATCTGAACCAGGTTGGCTGGAATCAAACGATTTTGCACCTTCGTACATTAAATGAAAAAGATAAATTTCGGCTACAATGAATCTGAACCAGGTTGGCTGGAATCAAACGATTTTGCACCTTCGTACATTAAATGAAAAAAGATAAATTTCGGCTACAATGAATCTGAACCAGGTTGGCTGGAATCAAACGATTTTGCACCTTCGTACATTAAATGAAAAAAAATAAATTTCGGCTACAATGAACTGGCATTACGTAGCAGCAAACTAGTTAACTGTGAGAGTTCCAATCATTTGCACCACTGCACTACGACACACTCGATACCGTACAAATATACGCATGGGCCAAAAATCACAAGCATTCGTTAACCAGTTAACCATCCAACTATTATAGGTTGTTTTTTTTTTAAATTTAAACTACTTTCAAAATTTCAAGAATTATCAGTATTTTTTATTTAAACTGTAAGTATTAATTACACAAATCCAGTATTATCAAAATAATATCAGATACATAATAATTAAAAATGGGTGAACTAAAAAAAAAAGCTAAAAACAAACGGAAATCATTAAATGTATTAAAATCAGGAAAAATCGGTGAATTTTCGGGTGAATAAAATGAATGAAGGAATGCCTAAGACGAGTAATGTTGTCGGTGAGGTACCTCTTTGTCGACGAGATGGTACTCGATCTCGACGGTGACGATGACGCCGTTGGGCTGGTGGGGATCCTTCCAGTACACGTGCACGTTGCGCGCGACGGCCACCTCGTCGGGATTGCCGCCGGCGCCGGCGCTGCTGCTGTTCACCTCGTTCAGCGACACGCGCACACTCGCCGAGGGAATGTCGTCCGCGCCGCCTGTTCACAAGGCCAACGCCACATATCAGCCACATTATTCCGCAGAAAAAAAGATATTATACAAAAAATATAATATAAATAAAATAATAGAAATAAATAATAATATAAACTATAATATAATATAAATATACCAAATAAATAATAATATATAATATAAATAATAAAAATTATTAAATAATTGTCGCGTACGCTAATACGATTTATTAATTTAGACTTTCAGCGCGCTATTCAACTGAGCAATTAATATTACAGAGGACAACATCATGAGTGTTGCTATGGCATACACTACAATAATATTATATTATTATTAATTATTTATATAATATAAATAATTATATCATATAAATATACAAATTCACCAAAACAAATTCACCAGCAAAACAAATATTATGCAGCATACAAAAAATAAAATACATTATGCAGTATAAATGTAATAAAATATTTAATATAAATTTATATATTATTTTAATAATATTTACTACGGATATAATTGAATGTATATTATTGAAAAATAAATATTTATTATAAACTGTATGTGTATTATGAAATAATGAAAATGTTTTTTTTTTAAATTCAAGAAAAAATTCTGAGTACAAAAATATATGTTTTGGTGTGTATTCTCACGTTTGGCGAGGGTTTGGCTGGGATTGGCGAAGGCCTCATCCGAGCAGAGCGGGTACATGTAGCTGTTGTTCTGGTCCGACGGCTCCGACGACGGCTCATGACACGCAAACACCTACAATAGTCAACTGTAAATCAAATAGCAAAAAAAAAGCAGCTTAATCAAGCTGCAACAATCAAGCAACTGTAAAACGATAAACAATCAGCTTTCTGACTCCCAATCAAACGCTTCATTAAATTATACCGCTAAATTGCAACTGGAATTAAAATGGTGAACTAAATACTATCGAAACACCATAACCGATAATTAACTGTTAATTAAACAGGAAAATCAATTATACTGCAAATTCTGCATAATTATAAATTACTATTAAATAAATTAATAAATAATTATACAATTACTACTATTACTTGTTAACAAATTCTGCGTAACATTATTAAGAAAATTCCTAGTAGGCAAATTAAACCATAATGTATGAGTGCAAAATGACGATCTAACGAAAGCAGAAAAAATTCAATAAGCAACAAATCACAGGAAAACAATAATTCACGAAAAATAAATACACAAATTGCATAAACTCCTTCACAATGCCAGAACCGCCTTACCGAAATGACATAATCGGTGAAATGGTGCAGCCCGCGGATGCGCCACTCGCGCGCATCACGCACCTGCGTCTCCCGGGCCTCCAGCTTGGGATTGGGCGTGGTGGTGCGGAGGGTCACCGGCGGCATCGTCAGCCCCGGCGGAATCGTCACCAGCAGCGTCCCATTCCCGTCCGCGGGGGCGGTGGTGTTCCGCGGGGCGCCGGTGGTCGGCAGGACACTGCCGGTGACCTGCCGCGCCCACCGCGAGCGCCCCGCGGCGGCGGTGTCGCGGCGCGCTCGCCCCCCGAAGTCGCCCTTGTAGAAGACGTTGTCCAGGATGAAGTTCTCCATGTCGATGGTGTCCTTCATCATCTCCTCGTCGGGGAGGCGTTGGACGGCGCCCGGGCCGCCGGGACCCCCCAGGGTGGCGTTGCAGGGGCACAGGTCGGGCCGGGGGGTGGTGGTGGTGGTCAGTTCTTCGAAGTAGTTGCGTGGACGCTGGATCGCTGTGAAAATATACCCGGAATGTTGGGAAAATGTTATGGAAATATTCCTTGAAAATTAATCCTATTAGACGGAAAAAATCCCAATAAAAATCTCCAGGAAAATAAATTGTACAAAAATCCAAAATATCAGTAGCGTTCACGAAATATTTGTTAAAAATATACTCGTACCAGTGTAGAACATATACCCATTAGTGACGGTATTACTGCAGAACTGACCACGAAACCTGATACCAAAATATTTCTAGCAAAATAAATAATGAGAAAATTTCTGAAATGCCCTAAAATATTTATAGCGGATTTTTAAAAAAAAACTGAATTCAAGAGAAATACTGTACGAAATATTTACAAATTTACAAATTTTCCAAAAAAACAAATTCCAGGAAAATCTGTGCCCAAAATGTTTCCAGAAAATAAACCATGAAAAATATTGTAATAGTACTTCTTAATACTAAATCCAACTGACCATGAACAGTAATACTGTACTAAAGCATTTGTAGCAAAATAATATAAAGAAAGAATTATTTGCTTCATATATACTTAAGTATATAAAATATTTGCTGCAAAACTATTTCTGCTAAAGTCACTTCTTACGTTGTTTGCAGTAGTTGCGCTCGGTGAGGCGGTCGGCGGGGGCGCGCGCCTTGTACCAGCGCACGCGGTAGTACGTCACCGGGCCGTTGGGCTCCTTGGGCGGCTTCCAGTAGACTTTGATGTCGTGCGGGCCGACGGACTCCGTGCGGACCTCCAGGGGCTTGCTGGGCTGCTTGGGCCGGGTGGTGAAGTACATGATGTCCGTCTGGCCGCCCTTCCGCTCCGTACTGATCGTAAACGTCGTCACGTACACCGCATACTGCCGCGCTGCACAAAAAAAATCTATTTAATTACGATTTTTTTTTAAAAATTCCGTTCGGAATTAGATCATAAGAAAAAAAAACATTTGATAACGATTTATTTAAAAAATTCCATGGGGAAAAAATCCCTAATTCGCCCTGGAAAAAAAGGAGAATAAATATTCAATACAAAATTAAAAATCTTAAAGAAATTCACAAGAAATTCTTCGAATGTTAGACTAAACTATAGTCGTAGTACAGGAAATTCTATCGTGACATAAATCTGAATTCTGCACTACCTGTTTTTAGGCATATGATAATAAAACATTTGCTGAAATACTGAATTAAAAACTAATCCGAATGATTGACAGGAGAAGAAAGTAAGAATTACATGGCCAAGCGATTTATTTCGCTATATTCTATGTACACTCAGCTGGAAAATAAAGCGCAAATTTTATCCGGAACATAAACAGCAAATTAACATTAACCTGTATCAAATTCCTTCTAAAAATACTCAGTAAAAAGTCAAAGAATGTTTTACGAATGAAGTACAGCCGAAAATCATTGTGCTGACCGGGTTTGAGCTTCTTGACGTCGATGCCGGCGGACTTGGTCAGCTCGCCGAGGTCGTGCGGGCCGACGTCGATGCGCTTCCACAGGTCGGAGGAGCAGGCGTCGCGGCCTTCGTACTTGCTCACGTTCTTCCCCGGCGCCTCGCGATAATACAGGATATAGCCCAGCAGCGCGCGGAAATCGTCCGCGCCCGCTTCCAGCTCGCGGAAGGTGCTAAAGGTCACCTCCACTTCGTTGTTCCACTGGTACACTGCAAACAAATAACAGAAAATAAATAACAATAAGATAGGAAATTAAAAATAAAAAATTCTAACAATTTAAAATACAGCAAAGTATTAAAAAACTATCAAATATAAAAAATTTTTATAAGTACCATTACAAAAAAAAACAGAAAATAAATATCAATAAGAAAGGAAATTAAAAATAAAAAATTATACAAATTAAACACAACAAATTAGTAAAAAACTATTAACTAAAAAATTTTATAAGTACCATTACATCAAATATAAATAAAAAAAGATATAAATAAGAAACTAAATAATAAAAATTATAATGAACAATTAAATAACAGAAAAAAATAAAAGAAGAACGGAATAATGACAAATAGTAACACAAATAACAACTTACATAGGAAAAAACATTAAAAAAATTACATAAATAACAACGTTAATAAGTCAAAATGAAAATAGGTATTAATTAATTTCACAAAAATAAAAAAACCAACGGAAATATGTAGCACAACAAACGAAAACATAATCTGCAATAAAATATAATAATAACAGAACTGCGAAGACATTAAATGGAGAAAAAACCGGTAAAAAAATTATTACAGAGAAAAATAAGAAAAAAATAGTAAAATTGCTGTATTAATTGCCAGATATTTATGTGATCGTACTGATGGATAGGATGGTGAGTTTGGTGATGTTGCAGGCCACGCGGTCGCCGTTGGAGGTCTCACTGATATCTTTGGTGGTATAGAATTTGCTGTGTTTGGTTTGAAGGAGGAAATCCTCGATTTTATACAGGCACAACCGCGGATTGTAGTGAAAGGACATGTTGGCCGCCTTGTTCGTGATCTCCAGCGGGGCGCGGTCCTTGAACTCGATGAGATTCTCCAGATTCTGGTTGTCCATCACTTGCAGCGCCTACCAATAGCATGTCCAGAAATTTAAAAAAAATAAATCCCAATTTCGCTATAATTATCGCTATCCCCGGAAATTGTCTCCCAGTTTTTCCCGCCAAAATGGAGCAATTTTTTTATTGTACAATTTTTTTGGCCATTTCTATTTCATTTAATCAGCTGTTTTTATTCGAGTTATTTCTTTTATCATTTTAATTTAACCCAAAAATTGTACACTGAGCAATTTTTTACCATGCTAATTTAGCAACCATGTTTATTAAATTTTAGGCAATGATTTTTTAACATTTTGATCTAAACAACAATTCCATTAAATTTTAGGCAATTTTTAACCATTTTAATAACACAATCATTTTTTTATTAAATTATTTAATATTTCAATTTAGGCAACCATCTTTAATGAATTCTTAGGCAATTTTTTTCCCATTTTAATTCAAGTAACCACTTTTATTTCAAGAAATTCTTGCTTCAAGCCTTGAAATGAATTCTTGAAATTCAAGTCTTGCAATTTTAAATGAAGCAACATTTTTATTCTAATCAATTCTCTAAGCATTTGCTTTGACATTTTCTTTCCAACTATTTTTATTCTTTTATTTAATTTAATAAAAAATTTAATTTAATTTAATAATAACTCTTTAATTTAATTTAATTATTAACAATTTTTGTATCATTTTAGTTTCAACAATAAAAAGGAACATTTATTTTGAGAAAATTTATTAATAATTTAATTTAAACAACCATACCGAGCAATTTCGGGAATATTTTTTCGTTGTGTAATTTACAACCTGAACGACTGTAATATTACGACATTAACTGCTTCCCACGCCGGTAATAAAATTATGCAACGGCATAAAAATGATCAACCGGCAAAATCGCATAAATATTCCGGCGTACGTTAACGGTGGATGATGAAATAACAAAACACTCAACAACGCAACCGCGACAATACCGTCACGCATTTCCCGGCCCGGCACGTAACGGCAAAATTGCGCATTGTCTGCGGAATGTCAACAGCGTGTTGTAAAAGAATGAACTTACATAACTGCCGAGGTAGAGGCGCTCGCCGCGGATGACGCGCAGACTCTTGAAGAAGCCCAGGGAGACCAGGGCGTGCGACTGCGCGATGCGGATGTAGTCCTTCACCTCCTCCAGATCCTCCAGCGCCTGCTCCAGCGCCGCCACCATCTGGTCTGTAATTTTGTACCAAACGAAGCCAATTACATGTAATATGCAATTAAATATATTTTTTGTGTGCGAAGTAATCAGAGTGAAAATTCAATTTATTTCTGCAAAATTAAACAGAGGAAACACTAAATTAACAGAAGTATTATGAAACGGAAGCGATTAAAAGATAAATTCTTTATTATAAAATTAAACAGGAAAAAACTATAGTTATTAGTACAAAATCAATCGAATTACAAATCACATTATATTTCTTATAACAAAATTAAACAGCTCAACAACTAAATTCTTTATTACCAAATTAAACAGAAAAAACTACAGTAAATAGCACAAAATTAAACGAAATAACAATCAAATTAAATTCTTTATTACAAAAGTAAACAGAAAAAAACTACAGTTATTAATACAAATTAAACGGAATAAAAATGAATTTAAATTTCTTATTTACAAAATTAAACAGCTCAATAACTAAATCTTATATTACAAAATTAAACAGAAAAAGACTACAGATTAAATTTAATTTATAAACGAAAAAATTTAATTAAGTTCCTCATTACATACAAAAATTACAAAAGACCAAAATCAAATTTGTCATTACAAAATTAATTAAATGAAAGAGAAAATCAAATTTATTATTACACGGTTTACAAAGTGAGAAATCAAATTATTTAGTACAAATTCGAATCAAATCCATTTGTACAAAATAAATTAAGCGAGCCACGCGAGCCTACCGCCTTTGCCGATCTGGATCTCCAGACTGCCGTTGATCACCGTGCAGCGCTGCTTGTATAGCTGCTCCGCTTCCGATGCCGTCCCGATGCTGATATTCATCGTGCAAACTACCGAAAACATATTAAAATTTTGTTCAAAATATTATCTAGCTATCGTTTAACGTTAAAGCCTCAACATAATTTTTCGTATATTTTAACATAATTATTCCTGAAAATATCTATCTTAAATAACAAAAATAATCGTAATATGAGCGTAGTAAAATTTAAATATTCCTGAAAATATTTATTTTACAAAATAATCAAAAATAATCGTAAATTATGAGTGTAGGAAAATCAGTTGATTTTGTTTACCTTTGGGGCAGGCTTTAATGCAGCCGATGCACTTGTTCTTATCGGTGGGATCATCGGTGAAGCGGTTGGGACAGGACGGGACGCACTGCTTACCCACGGCGGTCGCCGATCCGCTGTGCAGCTTGAAAGTGCCGCCGCGGTGTGCTCGGCACTGCTCCTCCGAAATACACCGCCGATCCGATAACTACCACGTGAAATTTATTTATTTCAACAAAAAACTCAGGCAAAAAAATGCAAAAAAAAATAGCGGAGAGACCACCCGATTTTATTTATATATTTATAAATTAATCATTATTATTTACTGCTTATTTGAATTTATTTTTTCCAAGAAAAGTTCATACAAAAAATGGGAAAAAATAGCGGACATAACATACGAATTTACTGATTGGTTAATTTTTATTATTATTTACATATTTTAATTTATTGTGTCAAAGAAATAATCATGCAAAAAATGGGGAAAACTAACGGAGACCATGCGAATTTATTTACTGGTTAATTCTTAATATTAATTACTAATTCTGATTTATTTTTTCAAAGAAAAAATCATGAAAAAAATCGAAAAAATCAGAAAACCATGATAAAAAGCGATGGGAAAAAACAGGGAATAGACCATGCGAATTTATTTGGTAATACTATTATTAAGCATTTATTTTATCAATTTATTTTCCAACAAAAAAAACGTGAAAAAATTCGGGGAAAATTAAAAAAATCACACAAAAAATGAGGAAAAAATGGCGGCAAGATAATGGCTTTTTGTACGTACTTTGTAGGTGAACTCGGGACAGACGTCCATGCAGGCGCCGTTATGGTGGACGGAGCGGCACACCAGGCATTCGTTGCGCGACGGCCCGTAGCAGCCGCTCAGGCAGTTGCGGTGACAGCAGCCGGCCACCCCGGCCCCCTCGCCGCTGCAGGTGGGCGGCGCTGCGGAACAGGAAATCGTATACAGTGTTAATTACTCAACAGGGGCTTCGCTGTTCTTCCGCCCAAAATAATTACAAGGCTTCCGTCGAGAAAAATAGCGGGCAGAGCAACACGATCGATGCCGCAGCCTTACAAGAATATTTACCGAATTATTCATGCCGAATGCCGATTCTTACAAAGAATTACAAATGTGGAACCACGCTTAAAAATCGATTAAAAAATACTCAATAAATAAAAAAATATAAAAAATAAAATTAATTTTAAGACAATTAAAACTGGCCGTGAAAATTCTCGTAATTACCAAATTCTGTTACGAAAATATGTCAATCACAATAAACGATTTAACAATCATTTTTAAATAACAGCATCCGTGGGACCAGAAGTAAAAACAAACACATGTTGCGCGATGGTAGCGAGAAAAAAACACCTAAAGTAGCGCCGCGTAACCGGAAGTGAAAAAGCGCATCTATGCGCATCGCTTGTATGATGCATTATTTTTTCAATCATTCCAGAAAGAAAACTCCCCAATAAACTAGCAAAATAAATTTCCTACAAAATTACAATGATTCTTCATTTTAACAAAAAAAGACAATTTATTTTACAAATTTATTATCGAGTTCTTTCTATGGAATATTTGAAAAAATAGTGCATCCTGGAAGCGAGGCGCACAGATGCGCTTCTCACTTCCGGTTATGCGGCTCTATTTGTTTTAAAAAAAATGACTTATAATTGCAATTATTTAAAATTATTATTATATTCTTTTAAATGAAGTACTGTTGTATTATTTTTCAAAATAAAGTTAACTGGAAAATTCGCCAATAAATTAGCAAAATAAATTTTCTAAAAATCACAATATATTTTCGATAAATCACAATAACTATTATTGTTATTTATTTAAAATTATTATTATTTTAAAATGAAGTATTATTGAATAATTTTCTTAAAACGAAGTATTATTGTATAATTTTCTTAAAACGAAGTATTATTATAAAATTCGCCAATAAATCATCAAAATAAATTTCCTAAAAATCACAATAATTAAAAAAAAATAAATCACTGCGACCGGAAGTCGCTCCCCTACCTTGCTGACACACCCCGGCCGTCCAGCACATGGGTCTTTGTATCCCCCCGGCGGAATCATAGAACCGCTCGCAATTCCCCGGACACACGTTCCCGCACAGTCCCGCCTCGCGATTCTCCCGGATGGAGATCTTCCCGTAGAAATCCTTATACACCACCTTGTACCAGTCCACCGTGTGCACGTGGCACAGCTGCCCGTTCCGCCAGATGAACACCCCGCCCCGCTGGATACTGACCAGCGCCGCCCCGCTGGATACTGACCAGCGCCACCAGCCCCACATTCTCCAGATCCATGTTCTCGAACAGCACCAGACTGTAGTCGCGCGCCATGCTGCGGCCGCGAATGACGGCGAGATTCGGGAATAAGGCCTGGAGGGATTTGACCCCGGTGACGCGGTACAGGAGGACGTAGTCGGTGACCTCGCGGAGCAGGGGGAAGCTGACGTTCTCCCAGGAGGTGCTGGCGTCGTCGAAGGGGACCGATGGACAGGTAGCCTTCGAGGACGGTGCAGCGGGAGAGCAGCGTCACGAGGGTGTCCACCTCCGTGTTGATGTCGATGCTGCCGCACACTGCAAACCAGCAGTTTATGTAATCCAATTTTTTTCCTATTATTTTTTAACAATTTTATCCGTTTTTTCTGATTTTCTCACTGTTTTATTTATCTTCGGGTTTTTATTCTGTATTTTCCGAATAATCTTTCCTCGCTATTTTTCCCGTTTTTCGTAATAATAAATTCACGCTTTCCCTATTTATTTAATTGCGCAGTTTTTTTATTTTTAACAACTTTATGGATTTTTCTGATTTTACTGTTTTATTACTTAATTTTATCCACCAGTCTTTATTCTGTATTTTCCGGATAATTCTTTCCTTGCAATTACATGTATTTCCGTTTTTCTAAATAATAAATTCATGCTTTCTCTATTTAATCAATTCTCTATTTTCAGATCATTTCCTAATAATTTTTTCTCAATTTTATGTTTTTTTCTTACTTTATTGTTTTATTTATTTTCGAGGTTTTCTGTGTACCTTCTAAATAATTCTTTCCTCGTTACTTTCTCAAATAAAACTTAATAGGAAAAAATATTGTTTTCCGGGAAAATAATTCCATCAGCCTGCTGTTCTCTATTTCTTCCAATTTTTTTCCGCATTATTTTTCTAATTTTTCCCCAATAAACTTAAGAAAACTAATGAGAGAGCCCTTAATGAAGACATAATTTACCCGCTTGCTATTCTCTATTTCTTCCGAATTTTTCCTGATTATTTTTCCAATATTTCCCTAGTACAAATCAGAAATTAGCCAGAAAAACCTTATTAAAAATAATTCACGGGCAATTTCCCTGACTGTCAAACGCCAATCCGAGCGCGACGGAATCCCTCCATCTCACCAATATTTCACCAGGTCATTATGCACCACGGCGTGCACTTTCACGCCAGGCCGACAACAAGCACCCCCCGTTACATAACCTCCCCTCTATCACTATCAGCACGTGCCCGGTCGTGTTTACCGGTCGCGCATCACCTCGCGATGCCTATCATGCAGGAATTCCGCGTTGATTACCGCTCTCGACGCGGCCGGTCAGCCAACGCACGGAACAACACGGGGATGGATATTTTCCTCCTCATAAAATGCAATTAATCCAGCCGCGCGCTTCCTGGCGCCGGGGCGGATATGGGGAAGCGAGACACACAGACTGTAGTTTCAGTATTATTGATTACGCCGCGGCCTGATAAATAGGCAAATGACGCTGATCGGATTAGATTCCCGACAAGGAATTCCCGGCGCTAGCGGGGGATACTCACACCGGTTGTATGCATAAAAAGCGTAATAAAAGCCTAGTTTTTATACGGTGTTGACACCTCTCGCGCGCTCTCACCACCACCGGCGGTCATTTGTTTTTAAATAAATAATCGATGGTGGATGGAATAACAAATTTATACCGCAATTTTATCCGGCGCTTGTAAATCATCACCGTGATATAAAAATTATCCCGGTGAAATTGGCGGAAAATAAGAATAAAATAAAGAATTAATTCCTGATTGAAATTTTAATACACAAACCAACCGCATGCATACAATTTTAATTACGCTATAAAAAATCGTCGAATTACAATTTTCTTCGATAAAATAATGGTTAAACTCCGATTCAAAAAATAAAACAGACGAAAATCTGGTTAAAGAGAACGAATAAATTCCTGATCGACATTTTAATAATTTCAAAAAATCCCATACGCCAGAAATAATCGCAGAATATTTCCTAATTAGAATTTTCTTCGATAAAATAATAAACAAATTTCCTATTCAAAAAATAATATTAGAACTGTTATCAATCACCGCTACTGATAATATAAGATATTCATAATAAAATTTTTATCATTTAAAATTTCAGCAGAACTGAGACTTCAAAATTCCAATAAACAAAAGTAAAAAAAAATATTTACAATCAGAGTTTTAATCAATAAAAAAATCGTAAGCACTCTCATAACCAAGAACTGCAACCCTCAAAAATTAAACTGAAAAAAATTCGGGAAAAAAATAAGAAATAGAAACAAAAAGGGGAGCAATACAAAAAAAAGGTAAAAATTCCAGTAAAATTCTAGTAAAGAATTTCCCCGTACCTTTTTCATTAGCCAGCCGCGGCGGGTCGGTAGGCGGCGGCGCCTGCCGCAGGACGGTCTTGCGGGTGGTGGGGGTGACCGCCTGGCGAATAAACCGTCGCATCTCGTCCTCCACGCTGCCGTCGCCCTGGGCGCCTTGCCCGCCGCGGGCGGCGTCCAGGCCGCTGACGAGGAGGAGACAGAGGAGCGCCAACGGCCGGATGGGGTCCACGATGAGCATTTCTTCCCTCCAGGAGCTATCTGCACACTACCCGATACCCAATTAACCCAATTATCCCATTCACCCGCACCGCGCATCCACCCTGCGGTCAGCCAACGATATTTCAAGCCTGATTACGCTTAATTAACGTCTGAAACGTATTATCGCTTGATATTCACCTACTTCCATTGCGTACCTGGTTTAATTGCCCATTAAATTATTATTGCAATTTTCTTCCGGGAAAAAAATCCCAACAGAGTATTAGCCAATGTTCTTTCGAAACAAATCCACATTTAATTACTATATATTCTTAGGATGATTCTTCTTAAATTGTCAGCCAACACTTACTCTTTTGAGAAAAATAATGACCATTTTAAATTTTTATGCAATACTCCAACGAAAAAAAACACCCCGTTGCACTGCTCAATATTCGTCCGCAAAAAATTAAAAATTATTATTCAAGGCTTTTCAGAAAACATTTCCACTGAATTATTCTTTCGAAACACTCGTAAAAAAATAATCCAAACGCTGCAAAACATTAGCAGGCCATGGAAAATCTGCAAAACTAAAAAAATCCCCGTAAAACCGTTTAATATTCTTTCGAAAAAATCCTTAAAATTCCCATTAAATTAATCCACTCTAAAAAAATTATAAAAAATCAACAGAAATGTTGAAAACATTAGTAGGCAATGGAAAACGTGTCCAATTAATTTACACATCAGGCTAATATTCCTTCACATAAATCTGATAAAAATCAAGACAATAAAACGCAGATTATTCGTTCACATATCATCGAAGAAAATAATACAATTTAAATCCGAATTTTCTGCGACGCTCTGAAAGAAATTCTGCGATTCTGATTAACAAATACATTTCCACACATTTAAAATTAATTTTAATATTTCTTAACTGCTTACGCACACTGTCTGCGTTATAAAAACGAATCAAAAAATGAGAAGATAAATTTTAAACAATTTTAATCATTAACAGAAAATCGGAAAATCGACAAAATCCTCTACGAGTTTCCCCCGCAAATCCCCACGTCAGCGTGATTATTTCATTTTCCGGGATTATTTCCCCTAACACCTTACACTATTCCACTTCTCCCAGGACGTCAGCACTTGCGAACTCACGGAGCAGCTGACGTACGGCGAATCCCGTTGGCAGACGAGTGGTGGGTGTCCGTTAACACTAATCACAGGGAAGACTGATGATGCGCCTCATCATCATGATCATCATCATTTCATCCACACGCATCAACACAGCACCACACTCTGTCCTCCATAGACCGGGCCCAATAACGCGTCAAGGTCGTCCCCTACCCGGGTCGCCAGGAGAAGAAGACGGAGGATCCCAATAAAAAGCGCGAGAACCGTCAAATCACAGGTTCTTCAGTCAACACACTACTTTCCGCACGACAGATAAAATTCGATAAAAAATCCAAGGAACAGGGATTCTGACCGTTTCAGCTTTGTACAAGTGACAGGTAAAAGATTAAAATCAGGAATAAAAAAACATCAAACAGACTGATCCCTAAATTGCGTAGGAAACTCCTAAAATGGCCCGTTTACGGATTTACTGCAGCGTCGCGCTGATGGAACGGTCATGTTTATACGGGCTTGTTTACCAGTTGAGTGGTGCGGTCATACGGTTGATACGGCTTGTCCGTTGCACTGGGTGTGTTGAATGCGGTGTTGTACGACCCGGTTGTACCGTGACTTCAATGCGCTGTTGTACGACCCGATTGTACCGTGACGTCAAGAGTGGGCGGGGCGATTGGTTGGTTGCTGGGAGGCGGCGTTGTGAACCGAACCAAAGCAGCCAATGACCGCCAATATGGACGAGAATAACAACTCACACCGCCGTTTCAGGGCGGTGGCAGCGGCAACACGGTTTTCACACTAGCCGCCGCTGTGGCGGGCGTGCTGTGCGACACACAGTGAATTTGTATTTTTCCGGTTCTGATAGAGCGTTCTGCTGCGGTAAGTGCTTGCCAAGGCGGGTGCGCTATGCGACACTCAGCGAATTTTCAGTTTCTTGGTTTTGGCGACCATTTTCTCGGTTTTTTCCAGTTGATTCGCTTTTATAGGATTGCTTACACAGCTGTTAACGAATTGTTGCTTTCAGTGCACGAAATTGTTTGTTGGAAGTAATTCAGCAAGCACAAGCGTTTATCGTGAATTTATCGCGTGATTCGGCAATCGATAGCTGATCGGCGGGAAAAATCCCACCGCATCCGGCTCACCTGGATTTCCGTTTGACGCTGTTCAGCTGCCGCTAATGACTCATTAGCACGAGCCTCAATGGGTCAATAAAGGCGGCTAATGTTGCAGCGCCCATATGATGCGAACATTGGCCCGGCTGTATTTCCAGAATGTGCTCTTCATGTAAACAATTACCATCTGCGATTCCGCACTTATGGGAACGAATACAGACAGTAATTCCATTATGAATTTTATTCTGGTTTTGTAGGCTGCCTTTAGTATAATGTACGACCGCATGGCGTGCGCAGTTTAAACCAAAGTGCGTACGCTGTTGTAATGTACTAGCTGAATATATTTTGTTATATTTTTAAAAAATGTATAAAAATATCTAGGTCCATGAGCAGGGGCTGCACGTACGTTAGCGAAGTGGACCTATTATTTTGATATCCAGAAAAATGGTGTACCTCGCACTCAGTACGAATTTCCTTCCAGTGCAGGTTGCCAGTACAGTATTTCACCCGTACAAAACTCCTCAAGCGCATATGGCGCCGCCCAAACGTTTTACACGCTGACGTATACGAACCAGTTAGCCACGGAATGTCATAAAACGCAAAAAAGTGTTTTAGAGTATACGAAAAAGGAAATCCCCGAGCATGTACACCTATGTACGGGTATCTATATGATTACCATGTACAATATACCGGTCACCTCCCTGTTCCCATATTGTAATTAACAACTTTGCGCGGCTGACAACAGGAAGTGCAGGCTCGCTTCAAGACGGCATCCGCTTTCCGTTTCCGGTGCAGATGAATGTACGTGCGCGCTGGTCTATGGCTTTTGCCTCTCTAATTTTTATTGGTAAATAGTTAAGAAATAGTACGTGCGAAAATTCATGTACAGTACATAGTTCATGCTACAAGGTATAATCCATTTAAATTGTGCAGACAGACAGAGGCCTCGTTCCGTGTTATACATAGGTATATAAAAATACATAATAAAATACTATATTAAAAAATTATAATATACAATAAAAACATTTTTTATTAATATATTTAAAATATATCATGTAAATACAGTGTTTTTATTATATATTTTTTGTACATGACGCGAAAAATCCATACGATTGATACGAAACGTATAGTTTGTGCAAGTTCCTACTGTAATTTCTATTGTAAAGGTACAGCTAGCGCGCTCAATGAAAGATTAGTGATTGGTTTTTGGAAGCGCAGTGGATACTCCTTTAAATTTTGTCTCTTTTGCGCGGCCTCTTCATTCTCTTTCGCGAGTTTTTGTGCACGCTTTTAAAGCAACACTAAAATCATGCCGATAAAGATACTTGTGTAATTGTAAGTGTAGAGTCCCAAACCTTCGTTACACCGCGTGGCAAGTATGCCTGGAGGCAGGTAATATTTTTTAGCATTTTTACTTACAGTTGAAATTGTTCAAAACAAATTCTGCCGGCGTTTTTACCCCACAAAAATTCGGTTGCCTGGAAGTTCGGCCGGCGTTTTGGCAGTGGCCCATGCGGCATGCATTCACCCGCCGTCTCAACTCAGCCGTTCCTTCAATTGCTTTACTCGCGTTGCGGCTGGCTGTGCAAGAAATGCTACGGCTGTTTTAAGGGAAATGGCCCGGTATATCGTGTCAAAAGTGGGATACATACACTAAACCTTTCGCTTTCGCGCACTCCGAATTAATTTTTTTTGTAGTAATACTTTATGTCATTCTAAAGCTAAACGATTTATAAAGCTAAACCGTTTGCGCGCCCAACGTCCGGTTACCAAGATATGGCGTACAAAATTGGATGAAAAGTTTAAATGCATTGTTGTGTACTAAAAGTCTGGTTATTACCCGATCTTCTTAAAACTTTGCTGTAAAAGGCACATGGTCATGAGTCGAAAGTGAACCAATACCAGATCCATAGCATTTTTTTCCGATTTCTAAAATGAGTTTCAAAAAATTTTAAATTCATTTTAACATTATGGGAAAGTGCTTTGAACCTGAAATTGGTTCACTTTCGACTTCATAGCCATGTGTCTTTTATAGCAAAGTTTCAAGAAGATCGGATAATAATCAGACTTTTGGTACACAACAATGCATTTAAGCTTTTCGCCCATTTTAGTACGCCATATCTCGGCAACCGGATGTTGCGCGCGCAAACGGTTTTCAGGACAATGTACACAAATCATTAGCTTTAGAATGATATAAAGTATTACTAAAAAGTGATTCGGAGTGCGCGAAAGCGAAAGTTTTAGTGTACGTAATACTACGTATCCCATTTTCGACGCCATCTTCCCTGCCATTTTCCTTAAGTACCGGTACAGTATTTAACCTGTCCACTCGAGAGAAGACTTTGCTTTTTTAATTTTCGGGCTTTGGAGCTCATATAGTGTACCGGCGCTGGCAGCTATTCTTAATTATTTATGGCATTTGCAGATAAATTAGTTTCAAGTTACGGTAATTTATTTTTAACATTATGTTGATGATGGCTGTCGATCAATGTCACACAAACTGGATGAGCTGTCAAACTTAGCCCAGTAAAAATTCAACAGATTGAAACAAAAAAAGTGAGGAAAACCGATCCTGTTCAACGAAAATCGTTGCCGTATGCTTTGTCGACCGAAGCGTAGCGAAGGTCCTCTATGTTCAGAATTAATGGGAAGCGTGATGTCCGTTCGTCGGTCACCGCCACCAAATGCACATATGCACGGTGCACTGGAAGAGATGCACCAGTGCGCGGTGGCCGTATATACTCACATCCCATGTAACTGGCGAAGTCCGTTCGTCGATCACCGCCACCAAATGCACATATGCACGGTGCATTGGAAGAGATGCACCAGTGCGCGGTGGCCGTATATACTCACATCCCATGTAACTGGCGAAGTCCGTTCGTCGATCACCGCCACCAAATGCACATATGCACGGTGCATTGGAAGAGATGCACCAGTGCGCGGTGGCCGTATATACTCACATCCCATGTAACTGGCGAAGTCCGTTCGTCGATCACCGCCACCAAATGCACATATGCACGGTGCATTGGAAGAGATGCACCAGTGCGCGGTGGCCGTATATACTCACATCCCATGTAACTGGCGAAGTCCGTTCGTCGATCACCGCCACCAAATGCACATATGCACGGTGCATTGGAAGAGATGCACCAGTGCGCGGTGGCCGTATATACTCACATCCCATGTAACTGGCGAAGTCCGTTCGTCGATCACCGCCACCAAATGCACATATGCACGGTGCATTGGAAGAGATGCACCAGTGCGCGGTGGCCGTATATACTCACATCCCATGTAACTGGCGAAGTCCGTTCGTCGATCACCGCCACCAAATGCACATATGCACGGTGCATTGGAAGAGATGCACCAGTGCGCGGTGGCCGTATATACTCACATCCCATGTAACTGGCGAAGTCCGTTCGTCGATCACCGCCACCAAATGCACATATGCACGGTGCATTGGAAGAGATGCACCAGTGCGCGGTGGCCGTATATACTCACATCCCATGTAACTGGCGAAGTCCGTTCGTCGATCACCGCCACCAAATGCACATATGCACGGTGCATTGGAAGAGATGCACCAGTGCGCGGTGGCCGTATATACTCACATCCCATGTAACTGGCGAAGTCCGTTCGTCGATCACCGCCACCAAATGCACATATGCACGGTGCATTGGAAGAGATGCACCAGTGCGCGGTGGCCGTATATACTCACATCCCATGTAACTGGCAATGTCCGTTCGTCGGTCACCGCCACCAAATGCACATATGCACGGTGCATTGGAAGAGATGCACCAGTGCGCGGTGGCCGTATATACTCACATCCCATGTAACTGGCAATGTCCGTTCGTCGGTCACCGCCACCAAATGCACATATGCACGGTGCATTGGAAGAGATGCACCAGTGCGCGGTGGCCGTATATACTCACATCCCATGTAACTGGCAATGTCCGTTCGTCGGTCACCGCCACCAAATGTACATAAGCACGGTGTATTGGAAAGAGATGCACCAGTGCGGGGTGGCCGTATATACTTACACCCCATGTAACTGGCGATGTCCGTTCGTCGGTCACTGCCACCAACACACCTTAAGGACAAATACACAAGCACGGTAACCGTACTCGCTTACACCCCGAGTAACTTGTTTTGCCAGTTCGTTGGTACCACCATCTGATCCAAAAAAGGATGGACACCGTAGCCACATACACTCATGATCTATAAAAATTGTGGTGATGGAAACATTTCGAATCTGTTTTCCAAATGCTAACAATGCGCTTGTGACTGACAGAACCATCAGTCGGTTAAAAAAAAATCCGTCGTACGTAAATTTTTCTCTTCCAGGATTTTGTAATAACATTAATAAGTTTAATATCCTGTCAACGTTGCCCGTCAAGGCTACAGACAGAGGTAGTCCATTTGACAAAACAAAAAGTCGTACCGGCAAAGCTACTGGACCCGCCCTCTCTCCTAGCGGCTTTAAATTCTTATTGTGTGTCTATGATCTGAACTGCATCAATTATGGGACACAAATATAAATATGCAAACCAAGAAAAGCACTTTTGTTCACGTCACAGGCACCTCCCCTCTACGGCAGTTGGTTCGCATGGCGTGACGTAAATATGCAGAACTGGCATATCCCGCCCAGGATAAGCAAAATAAAGAAACTACTCCGGAGTAGTTTTTTTGAAATGGCAACTCAGATAAGCTGCTTATTCCAACGTACACCGGGCACCTACAATACTTAATGAAATATGTTACGATCAGGATTCAGGAGGCTTAACAGCAGGTTCCTCAGGTTTTCCCTGATGGTTCTCTCGCATTCTATAGCTGTTATGTTTGAAATAGTTTTCTTTAGCACTTAACAACGGTAGTCCGTAACTTCGTATTGTTTTTGAACTAATTAATCATGTTCTGCTCTTCGTCTTCGAGCCCATCAGCATCTGAGGCTGTGCCTGTTCCTACGGTGATCACAGTTCGTCTCAAGAAAATACAAGAACTGATCGAAGCATGAAGAGCAAGTTAAATTTTTTATTTTAACAAACAAAAAAACTAAAAAAGCTGTAGTTTCCACAAATTTTAATTTAACATTTTAATTTATTAGTACCGTGCTTGAACGGAGCTACATTAAATGCGCTGGGAAGATTTGAGTTACAGACTGCAGTAATATGCTTACAGTAATTAGTTAGTAATATGCAAGTCGGAAAACGGAACACAAAGCTAGAAAGTGCGAGTTAAATACGCAACAAAGATGGGCAACGGTTTATTGGCTGGTTCCGTTTTGTCTGTGACGTGAACAAAAGTGCTTTTCTGGGTTTGCATATTTATATTTGTGTCCCATAAATTTTGAGAGAACCGGACCGGCAAAAACGCCCAGCAGATGTTTTTGCTGACTTTATCCTTTATACAATCGCTAGAATGGGAACTCGTTGGCCACCATTGGTAAAATTATTGAGATGACTGACCCGTAGTAAAGAATAAGGTGTGACCTTTTGGACCATTCCACAAGTGCTGTTACTGCCTAACAAAAGTGATAACATCGCATTATTAATCAAGACGGGATTGTTCTTGCAGAGTAACCGTAAAAAACCTCTGATGTGAGAGATGTTGTCGAAATATTATATACCACATGCGTCCGGTGTTAAAGACTGCAACATCTCGAGTAGAAAAGTTTGTCTAGCAGGGACAACAATATTTCTAAAATAAAACAACATGATCTCTATTTGGTATAGCAGAAGTTACATTTAAAAAAACCATTCGCTTGCGAAAACAAAGTTATTAGAGCCGTGGACGGATTTTCTGTTACATAGATGGCTTTCCCGATTACATTGGCAATCTTCTAGTGCTGTTGTGTTGAAAATAGCTCAAATTGCTTTACCTTTAGAGGCTCTGCCCAAACTATTCCAATTTAGACACATATTCCTGCTACGCGCTTCGGTCATGCAGTGCCCGCAAAAAGCGAGTGCACTTTCCTAGTGTAATTTAATATCTTTAATTACAGAAGCAAACGGCTAGAGGACTGCATCAGTCAATGTCTGCAAGAAATTGCATTCTGACTGTCGTACAGCAGTCATCGCCTACCATGGCAAGTCATTCTCAGGAAACACCCACAGCGCCCTCGTATGGATGATCCACTCGTGGATATCCTGATGCGGGCGGAACAAGCACTGAACCTCTCCAGTATCATTCAGTCGAATCGCCCGAAAGTTGAAAACAAAGCTGGCCAGCAGTCCGGGACGGTTGGGGGGCGGCGCTCTGCGGGTGGTGGCAGCCAGTTTCGGGGTAGACAACAGGGGCCCGTACGGCGCCTCCTCGGGACCGACGATGATACGGCCGTTAAGGCGCCAGATCATATGGTTGTGCAGGTTCCTGTGGATGCGTTCCGGGAGGGGCAGACGGACAGTACACGGCACGGCGACATGCTTCCCCTCGGTGACGTTCAGGTAGGGAGTGTCGTGCTCCTCATAGAAAAAGACGTCGCGATGGTCAGTAATCAGCGGCAGCAGCATGAAGCGCTGCAGAACGCGCCAGTCGGAGCCCGGCGCGGCGGTGATGCACTGCACGGATCCCCCCGACCGCATGGTCACATTCAGGATGTGGAGGGAGAGAGTGTGGTTTATGCGGCTATAGTTGTAGGCCTGTCCCGAGATGTCCTCCACCGGCAGCGGCAGCAGTCGTCCTGATTTAAACACGATGCGGTTCTCATGCAGCCAGACGACATCGCGCCAGTCCATGCCCGGCAGCACTTCGCACTGGAACGTCGCATCCTCCCCGAGTCGCGGCCGTACTACCACGCTGTCCAACGCATCGTGGCTGGCGGTTAGCTGCGGCAGTACGATGCGGTCGTCTTGCCGGCTGTTGACCATCGCCTGCGCCAGCATGTCGTTCACTACAATATATCGTTCACACGTACAGTGAAACCTCTCTTATACGTACACCTCCGTTAAGAAAATTTCGTACGTAATTTGCACCGAGCGCGAAGCGCGAGGTGCGGCAATAAGTCTTCGTCCAGAGCATAAAATTTGTCTGACGCCACGAAGAGCGTACGTCACGCTTTTGCAATTCCACAACCCCAATACCATTTCCCAATGGTATTGGCGCTCGCGCTCGTGCAATAATGTGGTTCGGAACCACCGCTAGTGTAGCGGTGTACGGAACTCAGAGGTGTTTTTCGCAGTGTAGAGTAATTTTGGTTAAGTGTTTTAGTGTATTTAATACAGAGGGTGTACGTACATAAAAGTGTACGTATCAGGGAGGTTTTACTGTATATTAATTCAGCCATTTTACTAAACGTTTTGTCACCAGAACGGCATATGATGAGAACGATCAGTAAAATTGAAAACAATTCCTAAAAGGGAAATTGAATGAAATTGACCGCCTGCCGCCTGTGCGTACCCACAGCAGTTGTATTCCATTAATGTTACTGGTAGGTAGCGGAGCCGTTACGGTACCTGTTAAACAACTACAAGCATAAGTGTTTTTGGCGATATATTCCTCTACAATCGAAATTTATGTTCATGTATAAAATAAAATAATTTAGAATGTATTGCATATTTTGCGAAATTGGCAAGGCGCTTTCGTAAGTAATAAACGGTACACTGTACTCACAATCCGGGCTGCCCGCTCTTCGGGACATACGGCCACTGCTGATTGGCGGCAGACTTCCAGATGGTGCCGGAAAGCCCTCACACATCTGCAGCAGCAAAGATAGACACCAGGAGCATCCTGACCACTGGCCCAATCTGGGACGCGTCCTTCGTGTGCACACAGACATCTTAGTTCGCTGCAACTTGATAAGTTCGATATTTGTAAAGAGCGCTGTAGGTAAAAAAAATATAATATTCATAAACTATTTATAGTTAGCAGTTGTCGCGTTGCAGGAGCGGCACAGTACGTACACTACCGGAGCACTAATGATAAGCACCCAAGGGTCAACATCAAAGCGCAATTCAAGAGTCTGTTTGTCGGGTAATTAACGATGCATCGGTAGTCATGGTGATCTGTTGTTAACACCTGTCCTTGAAAGGTGAGGGTTGTTAAGTTACGAGCTACCTAACTCGTACCCTACGCTGCAAAATGATGTACACACATGACACGGCGTATAATGCGTATATACATATAATGCACATACCCATGTAACCCATACGCATAATATAATACGTACAAGAAACAGCTGCGGCTTCGGCTTCGCGTTTCTTGTGATCCATGGCTGAAATCAACGAATATCTTGGTCACTCGTTCACGCAGCGATTTTGCTCACTGGACAGTAGTTGTTGCTCGGTCACCCACTCACTTATTTACCGACCCGTATGGTCGTTTAAGGAGAATTTGTATCGAGATTTTCGAAATTCTACAGTCGTTTAAGTGAAACAGTCGAACTATCATTTTCCACAAACCAATATTTTCTTTCGGATTTTTTCCTCATCCAATTAAACAGGGCGTACCCTTTACAGAGTACTTGAAATTTTAAAAAAGCTTGAACCGTTTTCTTGCAAATGCGTCGTAAAGTAATCAGTGACGAAAGCACTTTAGCCACGCCACGAGTGCCACTGCACTAGCTCAAAAAGTTGCAATCACCGCCACACATGGGCGGTTGTACAAAGAAGATTGCTATGACTAAAACGAATTCAGCTTAAAAACACCAGCTTCAAAGAAACGAACAAAAAATTCAATTTAACATAAATTTAACTGACTTGAATTAACAGCCGCCCATGTATGGCGGTGATTGCAATTATTTGAGCGTAGTGCAGTGGCACCCGTGGCGTGGCTAAAGTGCTTTCGTCACTGATTTCTTTGCGACGCATTTGCAAGAAAACGGTTCAAGCTTTTTTAAAATTTCAAGTCCTCTGTAAAGGGTACGCCTTGCTTAATCGGACAAAGAAAAAATCCGAAAGAAAATCGCAAATGATATTTCGACTGGTTCACTTAAACGACCATCGCCTATTCACTTATCACACTGTTTCACTTAAACGACCATACTAGTAGCGATTTTGCTCACTGGACAGTGGTGGTAGCTGGATCACTCATTCACTCACCTAGCGATTTTGCTTACAAGACAGTATTGCTTGCTCAGTCACTCACTCACCTTTCATTTCTAAATGCTGCATCAAACTTGTACCGAATTTTTGGAAGAGTGACTCCTAACAAAAATCGAACAGCCCGATAAACTACTGTAATTCTACAGTACTTCTATTAAACGTACCGTCAGAATGGTTTGAAACTTTTAATATTCTACATATACATAGAATTGTACTGACAACGAAAGCCGAAAGTCTAACCTGTGATTTCTTAATTGATTTGGTGGTGGGGCGTTGTACGAAAGTAACAAAACTCAGTACATTTTATTCCGTTTAATTTGCGTTTTAATGACTAATTCTACGTATTGTATCCAGCAAAATTTGTCCAAGCTTCCTTGAACTGGACTGGATCGTTTGCGGCCATCGTGCCGGCACGATTCTGATCGGACGTATCCAGAAATAAACGTCATGTGACGCAGTTCTGAACCACGGCCGATCTAACTGTGGTATCAGATTTTTTTAAAAGTTTTTGAGAGATCTGCAGACTGTGTGGAGGCCGCGCGTAGTATTGATCTTTTTCTTAATAACACACATAACCATACGCAGTAACGCGCACCGCTTCTAGAATCTAGAATGAGTATGTTTAATTTTATAATAAATTTGACTTTTACTTCGGCTTAAATAATGCACCGTTCGAACTGAATGTTTACATTTCACAAGTACAGTATCATAATATACAGATATTTGTATTATTCCATACATTGCACTAAAAGCTGCTCTACCCGATTCAAGTTTGTTTTTTTCAGACGATTTTTCACCCCCACTCCCTTGTTGTTAACTTGTAACTTGTAACGCTAGCGTGACAAATTACCACTCCGTATTATCCCGTATCTCGTATAGTCGTATTACCACCCCATTACCGCGTACGTGACAGAAAGCCCAACCCTTGTAAAATTAAAATACTGTATAAAAAAATGGACATAAATTAAAAACGAAAATTCAACCACCTTTCCCTTCTGTGTTATGCAAATTCCCTTTTGTGTTATGCAAACTTGAACATTCGCGCCTACCGGAAACAGCATCAATCCCAGTATTTTTTTTTCGTAAAACTGCATATATCGGCACCACTGATTAAGAAAGCCTTGAGATCAACCGGAAGAGATGGCACCGGAATTTCGTTTCTGCAAGTGCAGCAGCAATGGGATGGTCAGTTATAATTGGGCACGATTTGCGATAATTGGCTGCAGGACTCAACAGAAACAAATCCTGAAGAAGCTAAGTTTAATGTCGAAAATGCAAGCCCGCACTTTAGTGATCCAATAAGTGTCAATAAGCTTCGCTTGGTGCCTTTTCTGCCGGTGGTGGCCGGAACAGTATTGGAATGGAGCCGCTGGTGGCAAAATTCTAAGCAATAAATTGAATTGTGGTGACAATAGCCAAAACGCCGTGTCATTATTTTTGAAAATCATTTTAAAATTTCGAAACGATGGTGGAAACCACGTTCGGTGTAAAAACGATATTCATGGTAATGTGCGCTTTAATGCGAAATTTGAAGAGGATCGGTTTATATAGTGAGAGTTTTGGTGCACCTCCTCGTATTTGAACTTTTGAAATCTTATTTCCCCGATAACTTCCCAACCGGATGTTGCGCGCACAACCAACCGGCTTTCACGCCAATGTACACAAACTGCTTTTCTATAGCATGCCATAAAAGTGATAAAACAATGCAAAAAAGTGTTCGGGGACTGCGCGAAAGTGAAAATTTCAGTACATGTACCCGAATTTGGTACCATGTAGGTATGTACCGACATACTTCCCTTAAGCTTAACAATCTTGAACGTTACAAGCATAGAAAGGTCAACGTTCAAGAAATCCTTGTCAACCCTCTGTGAGGAAAGAAGCGGCTCATGTACAGCGACAAAGTCTTTCAAGAATTTTTAACACGTTGCGCCGTGGTATTGCCTACGCGGATCTTACGACGCAGCCGGGGTTCGATTCCCCCATCGGTGCAGTTTTCGGCCGTTCCTCGGTTTCCCTCGGATGGCGCCCTGCTGAGATCGGCAGGGTGTAAAACCTGGCAGTGGCACCTGCCAATGGCACTGCCAGTGGCATGGCGAGCGATAAAACCTGGAGACTCTGGCAACTGGCAAACGATAAAATCTGGCAGATGCCGCGTAAAATTTGGCACACTTAATAAGCGGGTTAAAAGTGGTTGGTCAACTATATAATTCTTTAAAAGGTCAATTTTCATATAAAGTCATTGAAGAATTAACAGAATTAATGGTCATGCATAAAGTGCGTATGTAAGCGCCGGTATGTATACAAATTTTATAAGGTCACACTGTGTTTCGCCGTTGCGCAGAGTACAAGTACCACAGAAAAAAATGACAAGGCGCGATAATACAATCGCAGTGCTTCCAGATCTAGGATGCAGCCCCTTAAATACGCCTTGCGCTTGGACGCGGTGCTGTTTCGATTAACAATTATATGCGCATTTTTATCACCTACACTCACCGGGTCAGTGCAGTACCAGCACGGTAGACGCTGCAGCCGACACACCACTTCGGACCTGTTGTTACTCGGCTTTCGTTGCATTCCTTTTACCTCCGGTAAAAATGCAGCATATGCAGATGAGCTTTGGTTTCAATAAAATTAAGGGAAATGTGCCGGTATATAGTACAAAATCGATGTACAAAAACGGTCTCTTTGGCTTTAGCGTACCCCAAACCCTTATGTCCTTTGTTTAAATAATTTTAGAGTCAAATGATAAGCATACAAATGATAGGTAGTGCGCGAAAACCGCTTATGGGTGCAACGTCCGTCGGGAGAAAGCGCAACGACAGAAAAAATTTCAATAGTTTTAACGCACAAAAAATACAGAAACTACAGATATACATATAATGGGTACATTACAGACACGAGTCATACAAAGGTTTCATCATACACACTTATTAAAATTTCAAATTCCAAATAAAATTAGAAACAAATAGTGCAAACCTGGCTCGGTGATTATCAGGGTAGTGGACCTTTGCAGTTAAAATTTGAACGCAATTGATCTAGTTTTTTGTTAGATTCATTCTAAAATTAAAAAAAACATTTTGAGGAAACCAAGCTCGGCGTAAAAACGATCTTCATGGTAGTGGGTGTTTTTATGCAAGATCTGGAGATCAGTTTATAATGGGACCTTTGGTACACATCGCATTTCGAAACTTTTAAAATTTTATTTCGCCCATAACTCCCGAACCGGATGTTGCGTACCCAAACGGTCTTCACGCCAATGAACATAACTTATTTGTCTATAAAAATTTTACAAGTAAAAGACGAAAAGTGTTTAGGAGTGAACGGAGGCGAACGCTACCCATAACCGTACACGGTGTATGTATTTGTTTACGAATTCTGCGCCATGTAACGGCACACTTCCATTTACGAGAGGCTTTCTCGATCACGTCCGCGTCAGATCGGCATACACCTGACGCTTCGATAGAAATTAGCCACCACTTCCGCGGTGGTTTCTTCGAGATCTCTAAAATCGAGTTCTTTACTTGGATGTGTTTTCATATTCGAAAACATTTGCTGAATTTCTAAAGTTCCTAATGTTACCAAATGTACGCTGAGCCGACGCGGAAATGTTCGGGAAAGCCCCTTGTTAGTAGATTACCGTAGCAAATACCGGAACTGAGCTTCGGTTTAAATCCCGGAAGTGAGCAAAACGACTTTCGGTTTTATATAGGGGGAGAAACAAGTCTACTCGACCCGTTTCCCTGTATTGCTGCCGTCACCCACCTGGAGTGTGTCGTTTGGGCAGTACACACAGTTAAATCAGGCGCGGTACAAAAGCACCTGTACAGCCACAACGTAAGACACCAACCGGCTGAC